AAATTAACTATCACTTAGACCACACCCTCTACTCAGTTTTATTAGTCATCACGTGCAGAAACGTGGTGATACAGCAGTACTGCTAGGGGTGTCCCGATTATGCTAATTTTTTACCTATAATTCTATTCAGAAATTCTCAAAATTTTGCTTATTATTCTTTTTATTCTGCCCTATTATTCTCACTTTATTCTTTATAATCATGAGCTAACTACAATAAATAAATAAATAAATGGATAAATAAATAAAAATGAAAATTAGTAAGTCTGAGAAGCTATTTAAAGTATCACTATCAGCAGAGACTGCAAAATATAAGTCTCTATATCAATTTCAGAACCTGAACTTTGTTCAAAAATTTAGGTACAACTAGCTCAGGCATTAAAAAATTCGAAAATTGTGCATTTGCTGCTCTTTAATTAGAGTTTGGCTACTGATCCACCTATTAGGCCAGCATTATTCTGGAATTGAAGTGCTGCCTATTATTCCCAAAATTATTCCGAAATAATCGGGACACCCCTAGGCAGTACTACTCATTGATTAGAGAGAAGGAGTGATGAGGATATCAAAGAGATTATTTAGTAGTCACAATGCTAATGTACTGGAATGTGGTGTACCTGTATAAGTAGTAGTGTCATTGGTACTGGATAGAGCTATTAGAGAGGAGGAAGAGGAGACAGTAAAGGAAGCATGTCATTCACTACTAGTGATGTATGACAGGATCACTTTATAATCATTGATTAGAGTGTATGTATGTAACTGGAACTTTAAAACATCATGAACACCCACGCAATGGAAGTGTATTAATTAAGTGATTGTGGGAGTGGCTGGATATGATGGCTGGAGTTGATGATGAGAATTGTTGTGGGGATTGTGATGAAAATAATGGATCATCTAGATGAAGCTGTTACTAAATCCAGAAGCTCCTTGAAGACTATGTTTAATAAAGGAGTGAAGTACCAGGCCTACTTGAAGAGAGTTGTAGAAACTAAGGGGGTTGGTAAAACCGGGCTCGGGAGGGGCTCGGGCACGGGAAATGGCGGGGTAAAACCGGGCTGCCCCGGACTGGGGCTTCACCTATTTTCATGGAATAAGGACTGATATGGAGCTAGTAAGGACATAGAACAAACTACTGAGTAACTGTGCAATTAAATGATTATATTATTTTATTGTTAAAATTTAGGGAAGCCATGAATCCCCCTTGACTAATGCTGGGAACAAGGCCGCTCTACTCCCATCTTTCTACGGTCCACTTTAACTCTCTCATTTTTATTTCTGATTTTATTTGCTGTCATTGTTATCTTAATTCTCATTTTCCTTGATTGTTGATTTATTTTTATTTATTTATATTTATTACTATTATTTTTACTGTTGATCATTATTCATTTCCACTTTTCTTTTTGTTTTCCAGGGGCCATAGCAGTTCAGTCTTGCTGGGATGTCTGTACTGTATTATCAAACTTACTCAATTTGGTTTATTGTAAATGAATTATATTACAAAACCGAACCAGAAACTATCAGGAAATTAGATTTTACAGGTGAACAATATTATAATTTTAAAAATGGTAAGAACTACCACTTTTGTCTTGTATATTATTTAAGATTACATGCTATAAATATTTGTTCTTCATGTA